TGTTAATGAAGTAAAACAAAAAAACATTATTATGGAGATGGTTTTTGTTAGAGAAAATGATTTTTTTGCATATTAGAGTAAACAGAATTTTTCTCTCAAGTATTTTACTTGTTGATATTTATAAAAATCCAAATAATATTTTCTCATTTAGAAAAAAAACAGCTTCATGAAAATCGATTTATTTTGAAATGAATAAGTTCAAAGTTGTCTTTTTATTTTTTTTCGTCTCTTGAAATAGATTCTATGTTTTAATTCATCGATTTTTCTATAGCTGAACATATGGTTTTTGTTTTCTCATAAATAAGAGCAATTTAAAATAAAATAATCCATATTTCTATTGATTATCATATGTAAATAAAATATTTAGATATGTGTCAAAAAAAAAAAATTTGAACTTGATCGAACACAATATCTTGGAAGAAAACAAGCGAAAAGAAGTAGAATGATTTGGAACACAATATTTTATAGAAGAGAGTCTCTGAGAATTTTCAATCCTTGAACACTTTTGTTCAACTCATCAAGATTTATGTGTCCTGGAAGTTTCAAAACTTTCCGATGATATCTTTAGAATCTTTAGAATATCTTTAGAATAGAAACAATGCAAAGAGTTGTAGACAAATTATTTATTTGTGACGACTAGAAGTTCTAAAACAAAATTCTGATCAATCAAAACTTGATAAAATTCTTCAAATCTTTTAGCAAAATTTTCAAAACTTTTTTTTTTCTATTACAATGATTGGTTTCTATTACAAAAAAAAAAAACTAAATTACTATCTTCATAGATTTATAATAAAATACAAAAACGAAAATATATTAATTAGTGAAGAAGAAAAAAAACAGACTCTGGTCCAACTATATTGGACGGGCTGCCTGTCGCTGTCTATTCACGAGCGCTATCCCACGACTGTTCGACATGAGGTCTTTGACTTGCTCGCTATTCGCGCCTCAGCCGGTTCAACCTTCCTTAGACGCCCTGGAAGGAGAGATTCCTCAACTCCCACCATGTCGATACCGAACTTCGTGCGGACGTTCGATCAACATAGATCAACGACAAACAGGACTCCCGCCCGCAAGTCATTCACACAGCCCGACCCCAGAAGTAGCTCCGGTTACAGAAAGACGCCGCGCTTTCCAGTCGATAATGAACAACATGAATCAACTATCTATAGTGAAATAATTTGAACTGGTGCAATCACATCCAAATTAATAAACTATGGAAAATATCCTATCGGAAGGGAAAGACATCTATCGGATGGTAACGATTCAATGAGATAGAATATCCATCAGTCGTTGTTAATGATGTTTGTCAAAAAGTCTTCGATGCATAAGAATAATTCTAAAGAAAAGCAATTGTCGATCGCTCGTTAAATAAGAGTAAATTGTCCGAAAAATAATGTGGGGGTAGTTTCGTTTGACATGTACATTAATATAAAAAGAATAACATTCTTTTTTCTTCAGAGTGTACTTGATATTTATTTCGATATATCACTGAATCCAATTGCAACTAATGCCATGTTTTGTCCTTTCTTTTCTTTCGTACGATTTTTTTGGATATTTATCAAGTGACAGAAAGGAATAAACGACGATAGAGAAGGACAAAAAAAACTGCATTTATATGTTTAGGGTATAGATGAATGTCTCTGTTAACATATGTGTATATATACGCATTAGAGAACTTCATTTTTTATTCCTATACCTTTGTTTCTTACCCTCCACTTTAACTGAGCTCGTGTATATAGAATCAGATTCTTTTGAAATGTAGTAAACAGGTTCTGGATTCTTCTAAAGATAGTATTCGTTCGTGTTGTACATTTTTATGGTATCATTTAACATAAACAAATAATTGTATAAATAATGTATTTATTTTATTGTTTTTAGTAAGAAAGTGTCATGTGAAATCATATACATTGATTATACACCGACAACATGGCATGGCGCGATGTGATCGCGATGAGTGGTACTGCAAATGATTATTCACGTTTAAAATGGCCATTAACATTTGCTAGTGTATTAACAACATTTTTAGCTATTATACTTTTATTAAGTTTTCGTTCTGATTCATGGTTTACATATGAATTAATTCAAATTAATAATAAATCAACAGTATTCAATACAACAAGATATTCCCGATTACTTGAATATGGTTCTATTGGTTTATGGGCAATATGTAATGGTCATTATAATGATCCTGATTTTCAATGTGATGTATGGACAGAAGAAACTCGACCCTATTCCTTTAATATTATTATTATGTTAGTTTCATGTGCATTATATCTTTCAAATTTAACAGTTTTTCCATCATGGGGTTCATCAATACTTATACATTATAATTCAAATAATCGTTATATGCGACTTATTTATGCTTTTATTGGGATTCTATTATTTCTAACCTTTTTATTGACAGTTATACTTATAACTACAATATTATTTACAACATCAACACCATTTTATACTCCAGGACAATTTATTATTGATACAAAACATCTTTCTTTTCAATCTGGTCTTGGCTTGATTTATACTGGTTTTGGTAAGTCGTTGGTTGTTTTTTTTTTGTTTGGTTCTATTATGTAAATAATTATATGTATTGATTGTTTTAGCAAGTTGTTTGGCTATAATTTGTTTGATATTAGTAATTCTAACACTAATATGGAAAAAAATGATTCAAATACAATTAAAACAAAGTGAAAAAGATCTTTTACAACAATTGTCAAATGATGCTTATCAACCAGGTTGGCATAAAACAGTTATTGCACCCCGTACACCTACAACAAATGATCAATTGGGTCAACCACCGCCATATGAATATTAACATCAGAATTAATTGTAGAAAAAGTTCCTTTTATTTTTCTTTAAAAAAAAAAGAATATTTTGTCAATTTATCTTGGTAATTTATATAAACATTCATGCTCATTTTAATGATTATAATAAATATATACATATACATATATATATTAAATAAACTATTTAATCAATAATAATTTACAACAAAAATTTTTCTTATAAACAAGAAATTCATTTGAATTCGAATTTTTATTTTGATTGTTTAATAAATGTTTATAGAGAAAACAGTTTGATGCCTTTTATTTAAAAAATTCAAAATAATTTTTTGTAGAGAATTAACAAATCATTTTGAAGTTTGTACGATTACTAAAAAAATCAGTTTCAAATTGTTGACTAATTTTATTAAAGCTCTTAAAATAACTCTTAAAATCACTCTTAGATATCGCGTATACTTCACTGCTATAGATAGTAAAAACGTCAAGTCATTAAGTGTCTCGATTCTTGATTTTGTTGTTAACATAATCTTTCAATAAAGCATGCCGAGACAGCCAAGAGAATCGGTCAAATGTTAGATAAATATTATTACTGATAAGTTAATCTCAACAAATCTATTATTCTTTATCTAATCGATATATATATATATGTTTTCGTGGCAAAATTAATATTCGATTAGAAATATAAATTTGTACAATCAATACAATTTAGAAGATATTTATCAATATTTTTATAATTACTTCATTTTGAATGGCATATTGTCGAACAAAAACAAAACTCATATTTTTTTACATGAACAGTGTTTTTGTAGCACATTTAGCTTTGAAATTGAAAGTACAAATGGTTGTTGGATGTGATTGAGACATTTTTTATTACATTGTAACATGTAGATGTATATTTATTAAGCCTTTCGACGCATGTCACAAAGCTTTAATTTATGTTTCACTTGACTTTTAATAAAGCACAAGATTGTATGAATTTATCTCGAGTGAAGAAAAATGTCATTGTCTACTGAATTACGAGACACAATATTTTTCTGTCAACAGGCGAATAATGCTAGAGTATGTCGAAAAAAGAATTCTGAAAATGTTGTTAGACTATGTACCGGAATCAATCAAAATATTCAAGCGCATTGGGATATGGATTTGGACTGTTTTTCAATTTTCTTTGAATTTCTTATTTAAATAAACAAATTCATTGGATCATTCTCCGTTTGATTATCAAAGGCAGACATCTCCGTATATATGTAGTGCAGCAGTATATTGATATACTTGATAATCAATAGAATAAGTTTGAAATACTCAACTTCTTTTATTAAGTTTAAGTACATGCCTACCTAAAAAAAAAAATATATATATGTTATCAAGAGTTGTCTCGAGAACGTGAGGATGAGATGGAGGAATCAATGACTCAAAAGGCCGATCAGCAAATTTTTTGTTGAAGTTGACTGCTGGAATTTTGCTGGAGAAAAAAAAAGAAAACGTCAGATGACGCTATAGACTGAGTTGTTTTTCGAAACATTTTAAATGTAAATGATTCGAAGAACTTCAAAATGGATTACGACAATAAATGAAAGAGAGAAAAGAAAGAAGACTAGTTATAAATGTAGTTTCACTTCTTTTCAAACAAAAAAAACATGAATTAATTAACTAAACTATAGTAATTTAACATACGTCTGTAGTAGAGTGCCTCGAGTCGCTTCTGAAATTGGAGTTGAACAAAAAAAAGTAATCTGTTGGCAGCTCTGATCAACATTCAAATTCACAATATGATTTTCCTAACATTAGATATATGTATTTAATATTATAACTTTGTTTTGGGATTTAACAATAAAATGAAATTCTTAACAAACAAATAAATATTAAAGTACTGCTCGACATATCTATTATATTCATTCTGAAATATTCGAAATTTCATATATCTACAGATAGAATATCTCTTATCTCTGTTGTTTTGTTTTACTGAATAAACAATAAGTCACATCACCGTAATATAGAACAAGACGAAAACACAGAGAACAGACTTTGAAATGAAAGAATCAAGGAAAAAAAGAAAAGCAACTATGAACAGCTAACTAAAGGCACATAGCTGTCCATCTACAAAACACACACAGTGTACAAAAAGAAAATGTAATCGACAAAACTGAACCAAAGAATGAAGCATTTTTTCTTTTGCTGCTTGGACGGATTCAAGACCTATTTATTAACAGAGAAAAAACATTGAGACTAGGCTGATTTAAAATATTTGTGTTTTGATGACTCTTCGAGCAAATGCACCAAATCTTGTAAACATCGTTTTGGTATAATACATCCGACGATTTTCAATGGAATCGATTGGTTATTATTAAGTGGTGTTGTTTTTATTCGTATCATTTGAATTTTTCCTTCGGGTAATATTCGTTCCATTGGTGACCATAATGCAAGAACACTACCTGAAAGAACAAAAAAACGACGTGATCGTAGACCAACTTCACATGTTTGTTGAGGATTTGACGATGAAATTGGGCAACGACCTTGTCTAAAAAAAACACAAAAAGATCAAATTCTACAAATCATTCCAAGTTTTTTTTTTGTTTTACCGTATAACATGGATACATGATGTTGCAGTTTTATTATACAATTCATCCCAATAAGCTTGTACTTGCGTTGAAAGAACCTTTGGAGTAAAAAAAACCAGAGAAATTGAAAACATATGAACAATTTATTTACTTTTTCATATTTTTTTCTAAGACTTTCTAATGTTTCATATCGTTGTTGTAAACCAGTATTAGGACGATATATACGAAATAATTGTTCACTTTTTCTTATACTTCCAAGATTAACATTTGACGTTGTTGATAAAGCAAGTATTGGTAAACGACAATAAGGACGATTTTCATTTGACATATAAAAGCCGTCATCTAGATTCATAGATTGTTCTTCTAATTGAACAGCTTTACTAAATGCAAGACCACGTTGAACAACAATCTAAAATAAAAATTTTAGTTTTTATTTTCAAAGAAAGTAATTTTCATATGATATACTTGATGCAATTCAACTTGAAGAGGTGTCGTATTAGTTTGTACTGTTTGTAAAACAAATACTTGAGTTTTTTCAACAGAAACTGTTTCTTCGCCTGTACCAAGATCTACAAAGAAAAGAAAACACATGGTTTGGGTTACTCATCTCAAAAACAAAAAATCAATTTTTGTCAAAAAATGAAAACTGAGATAAATGCATGGAAAAACAGTCTAATGTAGCGAGTTACGGGTCCACGTTTTTGTGGACCCAGCTGAATCCAAGTCCCAAAAGAACTCGCACCTTCCTAGTCAAAGATTTAATCGAGGAGGAGACAGCAGAGACCTCAATATTGAGGTCTTCGTAAATCTTCTGAAGTCCGATCAAGTTGATTGAAGTCTGCAGTGTCCCTCATCGGCCCTGATCTTTCATAAATGACATGATTTTCTATTACTTGGCATTTCGTTTTTTCGTAAAATATGTTAGACGATTTTCATTGTTTCCTGCATTTAAAATGTTTTGTTTTAAAAAAACAAAAAGTGAGAAATCTTTTTCACTTTTTGATTGTGGAACCTAGAGTTCTCGTTAGACCTTCGTTTTATATATTTAATTTTGTTTTGTTTGAAAGAGAATGTGAAGATGCTGGGTACGACAAAGTCTCTTTATTGAATCTATATGTATTACTACTCTATTAAGTAGTAGTTTGACAATCAGAGCATCATTTTCGAAGACGTTGAATTTTACTTCGAGTAAAAAGTAACAATGTATAAAACGACTCTTTCAAACAAAAGAAAATTAAGCATATAGATTAAAGGCCTACAGAGAATTTCAGGTTCCCGAATGAGTTATTTTTGACTCCTGCTTGTTAAATATCCCCGAAAATGTTATGGTATAAGGCTGAAAAGTTTATCGTAATTTCTCTACTACAATCCAAACATATTCTGAAAATTTATTGTGATTTGAGTATCCCTGACCCAAGATCGATTTTTAAGCAGAGACTTTGTTATAGTACTAGCCATCACCTAGACATTTTCTTTGTGTTCTTGTTATATGCACCTTTTTTCTTCATTATTTAACTTCTATTTTTAATCAACTACTTCTTCATTTATTCACATTATTCTTGCTAATTATCAGGTCTCCTTTCTCTTCATTATTTTATTATGTATCACCTAGAACCGGATCTTCAAGGGTGTCCTTAAATAAATAAAAAAAGATTTTTACCAAGAATTCCTAAATCCCATGAACCATTTCTTCGTGCATCAACAACCACAGCATTAAGTACATCAGAAAAAAATCGAAATAATAAATTTTGCATATGAACACGAATTCCAAGAATACGATTAAGAAATCGACTCATACTATTATGATCTAAATTCAAGAACAAAAAATAAAATATAATTATTGTTTTATTTTTTAAATTAAATTCTTACCTTTTTCTGGTATATAAATAGATTGTTGTCCATTATTTACACGTGAAATAAGACCAACATCAATTAAAGCTTTACGTGCTTCAGAAACAAAATCAAATTTCATTTCATTATTTATCATTTTCGGAAATAGCGCCCATGCACGTTCTAAATTACAAATTGAACGTATTACATTTTCAAGTGCTTGTTTGCCATATTTATTATCAATATTAAATCGACTTAAATCACGTGTTTCAGTTGCACGTCGATCACCATGTGTTAAAGCTCCTAAACATTCTAATCGTTTTGCAACACTATAAAATAAATAAAAACAAAAATTAATAATCATTATAATCAAATGAATTGATTTTGTTACGTTGAAGCAAAACGTTTTTCACCAGCTAATTCAGATATAACGAAGACATATTCAGGTGCTGAAACTTGATTTGATCGATGTGTTCGTCCTAGAAAATTTGATATATTTAATTCAATATGAATATAAAATAAATAAATAAACAAACCAAATTGTTGTACAGCCCGATCAGCTGACCAAGGTAATTCAAGTGTAACATGAACACGTCGACGTGTATTTTGACAACGCCGATCAGCTTGTAAAGATATTCCACTACTTGCTGCTTCGGATATAATAGCTATAAGTTTTTCTCCACGCATAAATCGTTCACGTTCAGAAATATTTAATATTTCAAGTGGAACATCAGCTTCTGATCGAGATTCATAACCAATTTGGCCATCTGCATGTTGAACTACTCGACCTTTGCGACCCGTCATCTAAATATTTAAATAAAAAAAGATTGTGTCTTTGGTTTTTAGTAAATAAATATAAATGATCAAACCTCAGCAACTTGAGATGGTCCACCCAGTTGGTCGATTAATTCATCGAGAGTATTTGGTGGTAAATTTTTTCCAAGTATTTCGATATTATTTAATAAATCTACTTTCATATTAAATAATGCTTCAATTATTTCAGTATTGGTCATTTTACGTTTATCGTCTTTGAAAAGATAAAGATTAAATTTTAGATTTCAAATTCTACATAAATTAAAACAATTAGAATATATCCTGGTGCGTAATATCAAGAAAAAACTAACATTTTCAAGTAAAACATGATGAACCGTTCTTCTAATTATCTGCACCTTTTAATATGATTTTATTGATTAAAAATCTCTCCTACTTTTATATCTATGAGAGAAGCCTCTAACTAACTCATTTCTTTTGAATCGAGACCATGAATATTATTTAAGCCCTAATGACCTATGAATATCGTGAAAAAAGTTTGTATTCTTAACTTATTGCTATCGACATAATGCGTCTTTTTGATATTTTTATTCAGAGAAAAAAGGTACTCCAAGTTCGAAGTGCACCAATTCCAATTCCAATTCTAGCCTTGGACTAGGTCAGAATCGGCTAGAACTGAAATTGACTGGAATTAAACTGGAGTTTGTCTAGAATTGGTCGAAAGTGGCTTTGATTAGAGGTAGGAACTTACTGTACCACAGACTACTACTGTGTCAGTAACTCAACAACCGAATACCGGCGAGAGTTTAAATTTGAATCCTCTTTCAAGGAAAGTCGTTTTTGAGGAAACAATAAATTTTTATACAGTTTAACCAAAGACTTTTGGTATTGGAGAATCCGAATCTGTAGTCAGTTTGTCAAAATACAGTACTTCATTTTTTCCCTAAACAAAGGATTTTTGGGAAAATTAACAAGTTTTTACAGTTTCATTATATATGTTCGCAGTAGAGTTTACTTCACCGAGAAATGAACTACACAATTTTGACAAACTGCTTGCAAATTTAGATTTTACGTCCTCAGAAATCTTTGGCCCAATGTTATAGAAAATCGTTATTTTCTCCAAAAACGGCATTGTTTGACGATAGATTCAAATTCAAAAGTTCACTGCTATTCGCTCACTCAGTAACTGGTATAGTACAACCTGTGAAATGGTTAGTTCCTACCCTAACCGAAGCTAATGGCGACTACTTCCCGGCGAATTTCAGGTCAATATCACTCATTATCAGATCGATTCCAGTGAAGTACAAACGTATATCAGTCAATTCCAAGAATTGAAATTGGTCCGAAGCGGAATAGGTGCATCCCTACTTCAGGTCAAAGAGTACATCCAAGTGCGATATTTTCTTCCCAGATTGTCTGTTTTTCCTTTTTTCAAATGAGCCATTGATATATTTCTATAATACTATATTTTGTGTTGCTTTTTCTCTTATATTAATTGAGTTCTTTTCTAAAACTATACTCCAGTCGTAATCTAGGTGGTCGATTGAGTTTGGGGTAACAGGAACTGATGAATACTTCGTTTTACGTGTTAATTTAGTGATTAGCAGAAACAAAAAGAGCTATAATCGCAATATCTAGATGTACGATTACAGTTTTATTATCAAGATTTCAAATAGTTTCAATGGGACTATCTCTCTGTATGACATGCCTATAGTACAGGGCTATTTTTGGAAATTTGATATTTTGACGAAGGAACATTTTTTCGGCTGAATCTTTCAAAATATTCTAATAATCTGGAGACCTATCTATAAACAAAATTTCTGATCGAAATTCTGCCATTTGATTTTTTTGGCGACTACCTAAAACTGAATTTTAAAAAACCAGTCAACTACTAATAGTTTATTGACCAAGACTTATAGGAACGAACTCTTTTAAAGTATCGCGAATCTCACTGAGCCCTGCCTGTGGGTCTAATATGAGCTCAATTGGCAAGTGGCAGTTGCGATAGTTTCCTCGTAAGTGTCGACGTTGTTTTACATGTATCTACAAGGTACTACATGCAAATCTCAGTACTACCAGCCATCAAATGTCGCTGAACAAGTCACTATGGCTATTTGTCTCGTCCAATAGTATGCTAATTACGCTGTGATATACACCTGTTCTTGTAATTAATTAGTACGTGTCGAGAGTGGAAAAATTCTGCTTCAAGCCAGCTCTTCTGTTCAGAGCTACAGCTAGTGATCGATATAGGACAGATATCGGACTTTTGAATGTGTCGCCAGGTAGCATCCTCATACCCCATGGTAGTTAAAAGCTACGGATAATCTTCCTTCCTAAGCTTTGTCTGTTAACATGATTATTTATTTTGAATAAACAAAAAATTTTCTTACAATTCTGTACAGTTGATGAATTGTCTTTTTTTTGTATTCGTTTAATAGGTAAGCCCCCATCAGTATCAGTTTGTCCAAGAATTTCAGCAAATGTATGTTGTTGTTGTGAATATGTATCTTCAATTAAAATACTTTCACAACTATTTTCATTATCACTATTATGTATTTCATCAAGTTGATTATTATTATTTTGATCACGATGTTTTGTTGTTGCACGACGTTTATTTGTTTGAACAAATGATGAATAACATTCAACATCAGAATCATCTGAACTTTCATTTGTATCACATGATATTGATCGTGTTGTACGACGATGTGTTGATTTACGTTTTTTACTTTGTCGAATTTTATCATCTTCAATATTTCGCATCAAACTAAATAATGATGGCATTGTTTTAGGCTGTTCAATGGCTGTTGGAAAATGTTTTTCAACAAAACTTTGAATCACACCTCTATATAAGGAAAAATGTGGGAAACGTTTTTTTTACTTTTCTAATAATTTAATTTACTTAGCAGTTGATACAAAATCATTTAATTCTCCTAATTCATCTAATTGTTCTAGTGTTTTAGCTTCACCTGTTGATTGTAAACCAATAACAACACACTAGAAAAATACTATATTTATTCTATATTTAAAATAAAACGAATTTACTTTGCCATCTTGAACAGCATGTCGTGATAATTCAACAATTTTCGATACTTTACAAGCAATACATAAATATTTAAAAAATCGTTGATGACTTAACCAATAACGTGCTATTACATGATTGCGAACAATATTTGATGTATCAGCTAAATCAAATGCTTGTAAAAGTTTTTCTTTTATTTCAGTCCACTAAACGAAAGAAAAAAAATAATAAATTTTACATTTCTGAAATAGAAATGTATATATTTTGGTTTTTACTAATTGAACAGATCGATCATAAGTGTGAAGATATTCATTTGTTAATGGAACATCAAGTATAGAAAAATGTACACCAGAAAAACTTAATTGTCGTGCAATATACATTCCACGAAGTTTCATATCCATAGCAACAAGTTCCATAGCACCAACACCACGTTGTTCAATAGCTTGAATAAAATGATTAAAATCAGTAAATGATGTACCTGGACCCCATAGACCAAGTCTAGTCATATAAGCCATGTTGCGTGGTTCTGATGCACCTGTTGCTGATGCATAAATAATACGTGCATTTGGTAAACGAGCTTGAAGATCAAGAACAGCTAAACCTGTTTTAGAAGATTTAGCTGTTGGACTTGGTGCAAGATTTTTAGCTTTATGACATTCATCAAATACAATCTAAATAAAAAAACAAACGTGAAGAATATTCTTATCATAATGAAATATTATTCTAATATATGAACTTCACAGAAGAAATAATATTATATATAATTAATGTATGTCGAATTTTTATTTATGTATACTACTATTTTAATCGAAACTCAATTGATCAATTCAATTATCGAAGGAAATCATCTTACTTGAATATGGAAGAGCTTTCAAAAATAATATTGACATATCTATTCTTCTTCTCAAAGCCCAACACATAAGAGACTCCGGGGGAGAAAAAAGCAAGACTTCAGTACTCCAAAGTACAAGTGAAGTATCGAAGTCTCGGTTTTTTTCGCCTTAATTCATCTCCATAGGCGTTTAGAGCTAAGTGAGGTTCATTCTATTGAATTTTCAATTTGTGAGAAAGTTTCCTTGGATGTCTCCTTCTGATTTCAATGGCTTTTTTTGGCCTCTAGACACTATAATGTTTTAATAGAAATTTTAATGTGTTTTTTTTTGAAACTCCAGGTTCTCGGAAAACTCTATTTTTTCGAGTTTCGGTCTGAAGCTTTGTGAAAATAAAGAACTCAACTAGATTAACTTCCATAAAAAATTCCTAAGTTTTCAACAAAGTGTCTTCGAAATATGAGACTTTCAAGATATATACCCTTTTTCAAGGATAGAGTTTATAAAATGCACTTTTGAAAGCTTCATATATCGAATAGATTTTGTTTAAAGCTTGTGAATTGTTTATGAAAGTCAGTCTTGTCGAGTTCTCTATATGTACAAAGTTTCAGATCAACATTCGATAATTTACAAGAAAACCTGTTCAGATGACAAATCACTTTTCGATTGAAATGATATTCATATGATGAGTAATAGTTGTGTTAAGTTTGAAATCGAAACTATCACGTGATTTAAGAGAGACTACAACTTTTTCTTAAAAGCCAGTAAAACTTTGATACGTCAAGACAAAAAAAAACCGATTCGATACTTGGAGACTCTCTCGTTAGTAAAATACTAAAATTTTAATTTCAGAATTTTTTCCAAGATACAAAAGCTTGATATAAATTTATCAAAATATAACTTACAACACCATCAAACTCTTCACCACCTAACCATTGAATTAATTGTTTCATTCGACTATTATATTTAACTTTTGTTGATGTATTTTGACTTTCACTTATTAATGATGGATATGTTGCAAAAATAACACCACGTTTTATTCCACCATTTTGTTCTGAAGATATTTTAGCATATTTTAACTAAATAAAATACGAAAGATAGAAAGAAAAAAAAATTTATTTTCTTCGATTAATACTTTATTCAATGCATGAACTTCAATAAATTGAGCACCAATATCATATAAATCACGTTGTGCATCATATTTAAGATCATTTGAAACACTCAACCTAAAATATAAAATTCATTTTTCATTTTCAATTTATTTTCTTTCACACATACCATAAAGATTTACGTCGTCCAAGTAAATAATTTTCATAAATAAGACCAGCTATTGTTCGACCTTTGCCAACACCAGCTCCATCACCTTAACAAAAAAAAATCAATCTAATAAATAAAATTTTTCTTTTGAAATTTAAAATACCAATAAGAAATCCAGCTCTTGTTCCATCTGGTAAAAATGTATTATGACGTTGTGAAGCATAAACAATTGTTTCAAGTTGTAAAGCTGATAATGCATTCGATTGAATTTTTTCATCTGGAATTGTTAATTGATAATTTATATCTGGTAATTCAACTGAAGCAAGTGATGATGTTTCAACAACTGGATCAGGATGTCGATCACCTAATCGAACTAAATTAAAAAGAAAATTATAATTTTTGTTTGTTTGTTTGTTTTTAAATTATAAACTTACGTTTAAGTGGCATATAATCTGAATAAGTATCTGCTGTTTGTGCACTTTGATCTTCTTCATCATCTTCTTCTGCTTCAATGTCAGTTGGAATTTTAACTGGAAATTCCTAAGTTTAAAAAAAAGAAAAGAAATGATTATTCTTTGATGTAATTATTAATAAACATACAGTTGGTACTGGTAAGGTTGGTCTTAAAGCAGGAATAAATTGACGAACAATAGTTGTTGATGAAGATGGATTTTGTGATAATGGAGTAATAGTTGGAGGTACTGAATAAAGACCAGATGGAATTGTAATTGGTCGTTGCAACCGAATAATAGGTCGATTTTGTACAGGTGCATGAAGACCATGTAAAATAATTGGACGTGTTATTGTTATGGGTGATGTTGGTGGTATAGATAAATTAGGAAATGATTGTGGTTTAGGAGGTATTGAAGGTTGGGATTCTATTGAACGTTGCTAAAATGTTTTATTTTTTTTATTAGAAAACAAATTTTTGTTTTTTTTTAAGAAATAAATCTTACTCGTGCAATTTCATCTGCTTGTCTATTTGTTTCTGATAATTCTTTAACAGCCATTGAAAATGGATCATCTTCATCTTCTGCATCATCATCGTCATCGATAATTAAATCATTTGTATGTGAACTCATTCTTTTTATTTTTTAAAGATATTTTATTATTATTTTCGTCTATTGTCTAGAGAAAAAAATCGACTAGTTGTAGCAGATCTATCGTCTTGACAAAATGCATAAATCCAAATGTCATTCTATATATATATTTATATTTTTTTCGATAAAAACGCCATTTAATGACGATCAATGTCTCATCGCACTCATACTTTAAGGACTATATCTAAAATGTACATTCGGCAGAGTTATTGACATTTTCATTGACTCCATTTACATATGATTGTTCTCGTTCTTACCAGTATTTATAGTCGTTTCGAGAACCAATGATTTATAGTTATTATGCCATCTGTCTTTTCAAATGATTGGTTAGATTGAAAACTAATATTAGATTCATCTAGTTACGTATCATAGTTTGAGAATTACTCAAATGTGTATTATTTACGCGATTTTTCATTTCTTTTTAACTCTCTCCCTACAGACAATGAATCATTATGGAAAAATTTTTTCATTGTAAAACACAGAAACAATATTTGTTCTGATTTGTCTTTCAGATTACTCTAATAAATTTCAATTCTGATAAACAAGTTTTGTTATCGACTAAAGAGTGATAATTTTTTTCGATTTTAAAAATACATTTATCTTTTGGTTTTCCATGATAATTAGATTATCGTCTTATTACTACGTGATTTTGTCTTGAGAAATCATCGTTCAAAAATTCCATACTTTTATCACACTTATAATGATTCAAGGAAATTAAAAGAATGATTCTTTTTCATCATGAGATTTTCAAGACAACACATACTTATGAATTATTATAAAATGTTTTCTAATGAAAAATATCGAATAATAATCTTCAAAACTAAGAATTATTCATCGCAAATACATTAATTTTCATCTTTCTGAAAATCTGTGAATATTTTTCTAGTTTGTATAATCATTATCTTAATATACAATGAATAATATAACTGAAAGTTAAGTGTATAAGCAAGATTCATTGAAAATAATGCTACATATCAACTAGGAAAACACCGGTATTTCATAAGTTCGAGTTAACCTATGGCAATTATTATTAAAACTACGAACATCTGTGGATGGTGGAATGAGTAGGTTGGCAAAGCTGAATCATAATAGGAACTGACTTTGTTTGACGAAACAAATCTTATTTTAGTATGAAAACTGAATTCTTTTTACACGTCTATCTATAACTATCTATGTTGTCATTATCCTTATTTACACTTAATTGTATATAACCTAGACGGATCGTAGACTTATGTGCCGACAAGACAAAGCTATCTATAATATCCGAGCATTTCTTTTCTCTTTCCACTCACTTTATTTTATTCAATGAAAATATGACTCTAATAATCAAATCATCAGAAGAAATCTAAATTTCTAGCTATCATATTTTATGGATCGCTTCAACATCATGAATCAATGGGAACTGGTATAAGATTTTTCATGTTAATCATATAAAAAATACTCGCTATTCCGTATAGTGTCACTACCAATATTTAAAATTATAATCAACAAATGCTATCGACATTGTTCTTTGAATCAATTCTTGAAAACTTTACGAAAATTCCAAAAATTCAAACATTCGTACAGAACTAAACATTTTATAAATTAAACCATCTCTGAATTCTTTGTCAAAGTAATATGTAAAAAACTTGCTGAGAATAATGAATACATTTCCCATCGAGCCTCTGCCTACTGTGAAACACCAATTCGTGACTTGATATCGGATTAGAAAAAAAAAACCGTGCTAATCAAGCGCTATTCCCACAGCTTCACAATTTCCCACTTTGTCATCATACTTCCGCTGCTAACAGAATAAAACAAAATATCATTGGTTTTTTTCTCATTACTTAACGATTATTGTTGTTCTGTTTTTTTATCTTTCTATCGCTCTCCTGTTTAATTATCATTACTCATCATTATCGTGACATCTGTTCTTATTAATGATTGGTCGAATTTCGTACTCGAATCGAACCTATGCATCGTGGATTGCATTCGAAATTAGTAAACATAACATCTATACGTGTATTTGACTTAATCGATTTAGTTTGACAAAGAGAAAATGGCTGCATCAGTAGAAAATGCTACATTATCACCATTATTAGATACAATTGATATTCTTAATCAAACGAATGAAACCAATACAACACAAAAAGAGGTTTTCGTTGCACGTACTGATGGAATGTTATTATCATATTCATTTCTTCTTCTTGCTGCACTTTTATGTGTTTATTTTGGTTCATATCGGTCAATAACACGTAAAGATAAACAAAAAACATCAGGTGAAAAACCTGATGTACTAACAGCGAAAGATGGTAATCAATTTTAAAACATGATTATATGTTAGAATAAAAAAAATTAATTTTGTTTTTTTTTTTTTCTAGCGGCTATGTTTCCATTTATTGCAAGTGGATTTTTATTTGGTATTTATTTAGTTATATTACTTGTTTCAAAAGAATATATAACATTTGTTCTTAATATTTACTTTTTTCTTATTGGTATTGTTGCACTTTTTCGAGCAATACATCCAATTTTAATTAAAATTCGTTTGCCTATATTGGATAAAATTCGTGAAAGACAATTTCATATAACATTAACAGAAAATAAACCACCAAATACAACAACAGAAACAACAAATACAAAAATAGAGACAACAAATACAACAACAGAAAAAGATTTAATGCATATAGATTTTAAATTTGATCTTGTTGATGTTGGAGCTTTATTTTTTTGTGTTTTAATTGGTGTTTGGTATTTTCTTAAACGACATTGGATTGCAAACAATATATTTGGTATTGCTTTTTCAATTAATGCTATTGAAATTCTTCATTTTAATAAGTAAATCAAATTATTTGTTATTTGAACCAAAAAAAATAGGTTTAATTGAATTTATTTTTGTGTGATAGGGTTTTAAATGGAGTTGTTTTGCTTAGTGGTCTGTTTGTTTATGATATCTTTTGGGTTTTTGGAACAAATGGTAAATGAATTTTGTTTTGTGATATTTTTTTTTCTTCTATTTAATAGATTATTTTGTTTATTTTAGTAATGATAACGGTAGCCAAATCATTTGACGCACCAATTAAATTACTTTTTCCACAAGACTTAATTGAGAATGGATTATTAGCTGCAAATAAATTTGCCATGCTTGGATTAGGTTTGTTTTAAAAATTAAGATATATCGTTTACTTAAAATGATAGAGAAGAAGCAAAACTTGATATTTTTAAATATTCATATAGTATCGACAAACAGAGATGAAGAATAATGCTTTCAAAAAAAAATGACCTCTTGAAAAAGTTTGTGTGTCTTTAAGTTTTGGTATTCTCGGTGATTTTCAGGCGTAAAAGGTACTATAATTTGGCAAGCAGTTAAAGATAGACTGCTTTATAGAAAGAGGAGTATCTTCTGAAAATTTGCAGGCAGAACAGTATGTTCTTCGCCGAAATCCTGTTATTTACATTTCGGCGATCAAAGCTTTTGGCGATAATTTGAGATGACATCTGCAGTATATATTTAAGATGAATATTCAGAAAGAATGACTGCAAGACATTCAGCGATGAAGCACACAATTGGCAGACAGCTAGTCAACATTTTTGCAGACATAACTAAAATTTAAGAGGAGTTAGCATCTTTAGCTCCTCTCTTATCGATACCTATGATAATGCTAATAAACAGGTGATACCTTATCTCATAGTTTTATCAGTCAGAAATTTTGTTTTCTGCTTACTTCATGGAAGGTTCGATAAATTCTGCGTCCTTTGTGAGATCATAGATATGTGAATTACTGCCATGAACTGATGTCTGAAGAATATACATCCCTCGATTGCCTAACAATTCTACTTATAGACGAGTAATACATTTATTACTCATAATCATCAAATCATAGACATAGATGAACGTCTACATGTGGAAAATATTGTAATAATTCATGACACTACTAAACAATCGGAAATGCATCGGATAAATCTTATAGTTATACTAACAGTTTAAGAATTCATATTAATGTAAATTGCTATCGTCCTTTTTACAGAGTAAGAAATAACTATATAAAAAAAAAAACCTTGATGAAAATTTAAAATCTCAAGTTTTCTTCATTCAAAATACTTAAGAAGAAGCTAATATATCAATTCATATAGTTCATTTAATATTTTTATTCTTTTCATTCATTAGGTGATATTGTCGTTCCCGGTGCGTTTATTGCTTTATTACTTCGTTATGATATGTCTCGTAAACAGGCTGGTAAAAAAGCATCAACACTTTATTTTACTGTTTCATTTATTGCATATATAATTGCTTTGATTATTACAATACTTATTCTTCAAATATTTAAACATGCTCAACCAGCCTTACTTTATATCGTACCATTATGTTTAATATTTCCACTTATAACAGCATTGGTCTGCAAAGATTGGGCAAGCATGTTTGCTTATGAAGATCATACAACAGAAAAGAAAAATGAATAAAAATTGTAAAATCAACAAATATCAAAAATATCTATTCATATAATTGTTGTTGATTTTTGTTGTTCTTTGTTTTTTCTTTAATATTCTATTTATTGATGTTGTATTTCGTTTAATAAGAAAAGAAGAAAAAAAAAGAATTTTATCATCGTGCAATAGATCTGTATGACAAAAAATTTTTATTGTTGTTGTTTGTTTGTTTTTTTTTTCGTTCGAAATACATTTAAACGAACTTCAATAGTAGAAAGAAAAACAATTTATTTTACATTTATCCTTAGATTATGGGTACATATCTTAGTACTCGTAATGTATTTCAATATACACAATCATTGGTGACATTTATTTGTGGTAGTATATGTTTATTTTTACTTGCAATTCTAACATATATAACATTACGAAAACATTTATTACCAATATCACATCTTGTTATACCAATGCCTCTTGGTTTTCCATCATCGTTTAATCCAAAAGATGATTCTATTTTTCTTAAATCATCAACAAATTTTCCATCATATCTTGTTAGTTATATTAATTTAAGCGATGCAATGTATGATAGATATCCACTTGATATATCATCTCATTCGTATCGTGTTGAAGTTAATTGTTATGCACCACGTTCATATAGAAATCGTCAACTTGGATCATTTTTTATTCAATTAATATTAAATTCAACATCAAAACAAATAATTATTGAACATTCACGTTTAATTTTATATCCATATGAATCAGATATGATTCGTTTAATACGAACAATTATTTTTTTACCACTATCTATATTTCATATTGATTATGATCGATGGCATTTAAAACAAATTTTAATTGAACGTTTAAATAATCATGAAAAGTCAAAACGTTTTATTGAAATAATTCAATTAAATATTATTCCATCAACATTTCAACTTGATCAATGTTCAATACATTTTAATATACGTGATTTAACCGGTCTTGTTTATTTCTTTATAAATTATCCTATATTAACTGGATGTTTTTCTATATGTGTTCTATTTTCTATGTATATGACTTTTTATTTGATTATAACTGGTATATCAATATTAAGTCAAATCAACAAAACAGAAGACACTAATAAAACAGAATGATTATTTATATGTTTAGTTATATTTTTGTTTTTATTCTAGAGAAATAAATGTTAAAATGCATGAACATAAATGTAAAGGTTGTTTAATTGATTCAACACATGGAAAATTACAAAAGAAAAAAGATGCTTTACTTGAATTTATATTTGTTGAAAATGCATTATGTTTAACAGTTAGTGCACAAAATGTGAATATAATTACATATACATTAAGTAAAGATACAATATCAAACGTTATATATCATAATGATTTACTTGTTATTAATTTAAAAGCTAAAAATCAAATAAAAATATCAGCAATAGGAAAAAATAAATTAATTGAATTAAAAAATATTCTTGATGATTTATTACATGAGGATTTGAATGGTAAGAAAAAACACAAAAAAAAAGATAAAATAAAATCAATTAAGAAAATATTTTTCTTTAGAATATCAAATACATATGGAAAATTTTTGTAATAATTCATTTAATTCAAATAATATATCACGAAATGGATCATCTAAAATAAATCATAGTACAAATTCAATTCATAATGATTCAAGTTTATTATCAGATATAACAAGTAAAAAACAACCAAAAATGGATAAAATGAAACATATGAACCAATTTTTGGAGAATGATGAAAATTCACAACCGACTATGTCAACTACATCGAAAGTAAATGACAAGAAAAAGAATGCACTTTTGAGGTAAGTTTTTGATTACTTTTTGAGAAAAAAACAATCTACTCTTTGAAATAGTTTCTCTTTTTTAAAAAATCAGATAAGTCGTTTAGAAATATATAATCATTTCTAAAAAAAACTCATAAATATAGAACAGAAAAGAAATTAACGAACACTTTTATTTTTGAATTTTTATAGACTTCAGAAAACGCTTAGAAGTTTTAATGACGCTTGAATTAACTAATTTTGTGTTTATCTCCATTTTGTAACTAGATGTACTTTGAGAAAGTGCATTCGAGTATCAATCTTTTCGATTTGAATATCACATATTATTTTAGAATGTATTATTGAGATATAAATCAGAAAAAAAGTCATATAACAACTAATCAATATTTTTAATCAAAACGAAAGATACAATGTTCATCGCCATCAATAGTAACTTATAAGTTTATTTTCTTAAAAATCTACGAAGAGCTCAAGTGATGGTTTTAACAGAGATGAAAACCATGTCTACTATATGATAGACTCTTTTCGGATAAACAAAGAAATAATCTTTCACATTTCTCCTAAACGTCTCTTCATCGAACGATGTTTTGTACAGAATGAAACGAAAATAGTTTTACTTACAGATTGAACGAAATCTGTTTTGAAGCAAATCTGAATGATATTTAAAAAGGTTTGGTCGCAAAGAGAGTTGTCGATAACATGCTGAAGAATATCCAAGATATTTTTAGACTATACAACAATAATTCAAAAAGCTATTAGTTTGGCTTTCCTGGTTTTCAATTATGACATGGAAGAAGTGTTGCTATTTGAAGACATTTCTGAAATATTTGATTTTAATCAGTAAAGAAAAAAAAATGAATACATTATCTCCTCTGTAAATCTAAAAATAATGTAACAGTAAGATGGAACGTCAAGTTATCAAGCCAATAGTTCCTCCTCTTTTTTCAATCTAAGATTTTATGTTTGCTACATTTTTTTTCTCCATCTTTTGATGTTTTCTTTCTATTTCATGCTTGTTGTTCTTCGTTGCTATATACTTTCTTTTATTCTTCAATCATGCTGTTCTCAATACTTGTATCGACAGGATCTATGAGATCAATTTGATAATAAAAATAAAATAAATAAAAATTTCAGAAAATTTCTAAACATTTTAAATTTTACTGTTCAATTCTTCGAAACTATTTTGAATCGAAATTTAGATTGTGCACTTGCTTAGAAGTACTCTCCTTTTTGTAATTATTTCCAGCTCTTGGAGAGAATACAACCAGTTCACATGGAATTTGAACCTTAGATAGAGCATCTAAAAAAACTGAGAAATATATTCGAGAAAAAAATTTTAAACGAAGTTTTCATGGTTTTGTTGAAAAGCTCTGATTTTCCATATGATCGCATCAGACTCGCTCATCACTCCGTCGTCTAATTTTTGTTCTTTCATCTTGATTCATAGAGCCCTGAACTTGCCATCAAGTCGGATGTGAATATTAAACTTCATGTATTTCTTTCATATAAAGAGAAGAGAGGGGAATTTTCAAAAGAGCTTAAAGACAGCTCTCTGAGACAGCCTAAAGTATTTCCAAAAATAATTTTCAGTCTGATCCGACAAAGTAAGATGTAGATCGTAAAATGGATCGACCTAGTACTATGGAAAGCCATGGTTTCCTATAAAAATTTGTGAGAACTTTGTTTGAATTTTTTCTTCCTTGAACATGCGACTCCTTATTTTAAATACTGTATCTATGCTAAAAATTTCATGCGAATCGGTTGTACTTTCTTCGAAAACTAGAGCTGACTAAAAAGAAGAGAGAGAGAGAGAGTATTTCTTTTCATCCGACCTTTATTTATTAACTAGACTTTATTTCGATGCTACGCTAATTTTTCTTTACTGAAAAATCCTGTGAAACTCAGAACGTTGGATTTCCATACATATATCTAGAATAATTTAAATTAACAGCTCATATTCAATACATTATTTTAAATTTCAGTGCTTCGAATTTTTATCCTCATTCAGAATATGATCATCGTCATAATTCAATTGATGAAAATACTGATCATACAACTCAACTTCAACAACAATCGTAAGTTCATATCAATCATTATTATTTATAATTAAAAATTTTTCAGACGAAAACGAACAAATGAAAATCAATTTTCAATATCATCAATTCGTTTTCAGCATGCAACAAATACAACATCACCTTATTTCTATCATAAAACAGATAACAAATTAAAACGAAATATGTCCAATGGTGAATCACGAATTAGTTCATTATCAAATATTTATTCTAAACCACTTCATAATAATACACGTTTTCGGAATGATGATGATGATCAGGATGAAGAATATTTATATGATTGGCGTGATTCACCATATCCAACAAAAAAACTTGATAATCAATCATCAGCTGATATATCATTATCCACAGCAGTAACAACAACCATGAATTTACGAAAAAAAGGGTAAGAGATAAGAAAAATCTTGTTTTTTTTTGAAATTTAAACAATAAAAATTATTTGACGATTTTTTTTTGTCAAGTTTAAAAAATATTGGTGCAACTTGCTATATGAATGCTATACTTCAGTGTTTATTAAATATTGATCCATTTCGTTATGATTTAATGGTTACAAATTCTGAACTAATAACATCATCATTACTTGAAGAAAATACAATATATCTGTAAAATAATAATCTTTTTTTTTGTCATTACTCACCTATCACACATACAAAAAACTATGTTTTTTCCTTTTTTTAGTTGTGTCTTAAAAATTCTTGCTCTTTTACAAGATCGTCAATCAACACAATCGCAACATAGTACAACAACTCAATTAACAGATGATGAACGAACAGTTGAATCGCAAGCGTTAATTAATTTGAAAAAAGCCGTTGAAAAACATTCTGGCAATTTTCTCGGATCTCGTCAACAAGTAAGATCTAAATTAATTTTGATGGGATAGACGAGGATGATTAGATTTCGATTGAATAGACATAGTTACACGTTGAAATGAATAATGTCGGTCAGGTTTCCAACCTATCCATAAAATACCTGTATTAAATGGAACAAGTCCATCAGAATGTGTTGGAAATCGACCATTGAGATGTACATGTGCACATTCTATACCAGAATGATACCACCATCCGCCACCACCATGATGTTTTGGACAATTTGTACCAGTAGCATAATGATCATACGTAGAAAAACGAGCATTATAATGCCAACGAGAAAAACCTATTAAAAAAAAATAAGATAAACTGCAATTATTCATATTAATTAAATAATTTTCTAATATTTCTCTTTTCAACTTATATAAAATGCTAAAAAACAACATGCTCTGGAAAATTTTAAGAAAATCTTACTATCAATTTTTTTTGGTCCCTCCATATCACCGTGATATCCACCAATTTGTATTCTATAACCATCTTTTTGATTAGCAATATGAAATATTTCATATATTGCTTGTCGTGTTTCATTATACCAATCGGTTAATTCAATTTTTAATCTACATGAATAAGTAGTTGTTAACCAATGAAGATTTTCATTACCAATCCAAAAATCAGTTTGATTAAAAACATTACCAAAACCTCGTCGATATTCAACCCATGTTCGATTAAAATCAATGGAATTTGTTTGTCGATTTTGAATAATTAACCATTGAGGATATCCATCATTAAGACAAAAAACATTTTCTAATATTTCCACTAATCCAACCTGTATTTGTAAACAATGTGTTGTTCGATTTCGTTTTGGATGTGGAAGATTTTGACATGAACAATCAGCATGATTTACAGAATGAGATATACTTTCAAAACAAAAAAATATATATTATTTATAAGACAAGGAATTGAGGAAATTTGATTTCATACATCTGACAATATACATTTAACTAACAATATGTGTCTGTTTCACAGAAGTGTTGAATAGAGAAACGAGTTCTTTTATTGTTTTAATCCTCATTGATACGAAACGAGTCATTATTTGAATATATGAGACTAGCAGATTTTTAGTTATAGATTTATATTGTGTTTAAATCAATGTACCTGAATGATAGATTTAATTTTAATAAAACAAACTTACTGATTACAATTAAGTGAACGATGTTGAAGTGTTTCATGAAGAGTTAAATTATCGTTTGAACTTAAGGCAAGAAAAATTTTTTCTTGTTTACTAGTAAATTGTTCAAGTCTTATATAAACAATGGTAAGGATAATAACATAGAAAAGTAGATGAATTAAAAGAAAACAGCACCGTTCAATAGTTATGTTTGATGGCATTCGTGTTAATCTTTGAACATTTAAAAAAGGAAATTTTGCTCGATTGATTTTTGTTCTTCTTGATGTTGTTACTGCTGTTGTTGTTGTTGTTGTTGTAGGTAACATATCGAGACGATTAACAACTATTTGAATATCAGTATTTGGTTTTAACGGACTAGAATTAAGACGCTTGATTTGTTCTTCTTTGAACATTGTTCATGTGTATAAAACACTTCTTTCTTATATATGAGTGTGAACATGTTCATTCTCTATTGTCGGTTTTAGCTCGTTGAAGGTAAAAAAGTATGCTCGCTAAGAAAGAAAAAGAGAAAACGAGCAAGCGGGAAGGAAGAACGACCGAAGTAGCACGCAATTAGATAACCTCAGGCATTAGTATTGGCGTCGAGAAAAATGAACAATATTATTTAATCGTTTGTTTAGATTTACTAGTAAATTTTTTTTTTCAACATTTAATCGAAGAAAAAACAATGAATGTTATTATTGTTTGTGATCGAATCAAAAGAATAAAATAACATTTTTTTTTGTATTTTTATATTGTTCTAGGATTCACATGAATTTCTTAATCTTGTTATTTCATTGATAACTGATGAAATCGATGCTATTAAAAATCAAATAAATGAACAGTCATTATTATTTAAACATAAAATAGTCGATCCAACAACAAATAATTTTCAATTTTGTTTAGCTACTGAACGTTGTTGTGAAATGTACGTAAGAAATAAAAAAATATATAATTTTACTTTCCTTAAAAGCAATATTCTCTTGAACTTAACAGTAACAGATATTCATATTCTTGAGAGTTGTCAAAGTAACTATTTTCCAGGCCTCATCATAATATTGTTAAAACATCTTTTTTCCTTTCTTTCAAACACAAAATCTTTTTTTTTTTCTGAAAAGAAAAAAATCATCAAGCTGAACAATCAAAAAATTCCTCAAGGTTATTTTACGGATATTATATTTCCTTTTGAATAGCTGTGGTATGTCAACAATCAAAACAGAAATTCATACAGCTTTACTTATACATGTAACAGATGAAGAATCTAAAACAGCTAAAAATAATTCTTTAACTGATTTACTTGAAAATTATTTTGCATCTGAAACCATGGATGGTTGTTACTGTGACAATTGTCAATCAAATCAAAGGAAACATATTAAATATAATCTCGAAAGATTACCTCGGTAATATAACAAGAGAAAAAATCCGAGATTTTATTCAAATTTCATTTGTCTGTTTTTTTTTTGTATGTCTAGTATTTTTATTTTTTATTTAAAACGATGGCATATAATAAAAAATTCTAACGGAGAACTTCAATCAGTATCAAAAGAAGATCATCCAATTGATTGTTCAATTGAAATAAATGTTTATCCATTTTGTTCATCAAATACTTATCAACCATCGATGATAAATTATTTAGAAGAATTACCCAATTTAAAAGATTTACTTAAACAACGCGAACAAATTTTACATATAATTGAACCGAAAAGAGCAAAAATTGAACAGAATGAATCCGAAAAAATGGTAAGAAAACAAAAGTTAATTAGAATCTATATTAATATGAGCACATTCAGATATATTTATTTTTATAACAAAAAAGAAAAATATTTGTGAATGAACTAGATTATGCTTTTGTTAGGAAATAAACGAAGAAGAAAATATTATTGCTACTCATGCTAATTATCGTCTTTTTGCTGTTATTAATCATCATGGTGGTTCAAGTGACGTTGGTAAAACAATTTTTTTAAATTTCATTTTATCTTTTTTAGTATAAATATTTTGTTAGGTCACTATACATCAACAGTATATGATGCTAAAGGTGATACATGGTGGACTTTTGATGATACATCAGTTACATCCTGTACTCAACAACGTGTTTTAAAAGATTTAGCTCCCGATGCTTATGGTGTTATGTATATGCATAAGTATGTCAACCATTTATGTTAAAGCCTCGCGCTTTTTGCGATCTAAAATTTTTGTTTCTTTGTGACTATTGTATAGTCTAAAGTAGTACCTATCTACTGAGTACATTTTGAGATTCGAAAATTAGCTTGAAATATTATAAAATCAAATTAATGACTATTGTATATTGCTTTGCGTTTTTCTCAAGTCAATTTTTTCATGAAACAAAAGTGCAGAAACATTTCCTGTTGCTTCGACCTAGTACATTCGATTGAGCTGAAGACTTTTTTGACATCTACTTCGGATAAGTATACTTTGCTTCAAAAAGCATTATTTCACTGATTTTTGATTGCTCTATTCAAAAACCCTTAGGCTTTTCACAGCACCTTCAATATTTTCATACGACAAAAAAAGTAAAAAAACTACCCATCCCAAACAGTATCTAGTGTTTTTAAAAACGTTTTCAGCTTGATCGAACATAACATCTTGAAGAAACAGGGGTTGTGGGTCATTGTGATCTCGGTCATATCTGAAGCCGATCGAATTTTTTAACCGACGAATCGGTTGGTTTGGTACTGGTTTGCAGGTCAAATTCTCAGTAGGATTCCAATATCTCATAGAAGACAGCATCCAGAATGATAACTTTTGTTCTATTCATCATTATGTACCTGCTCTGAAAACTTCAAATTCTACTAATGAGTTCTTTTTCAGAAATCCTAGAAAGGTACGATACTTGGACTCATTCTTCATAGCTTTTTCTTTATATTTTATAGAGACATACTAAAATTATTTCAACCTGTGATTAACAATTCAATGCAGTGAAACTGACATTTTTTCTTTTTTTTTTCTATGTACAAACTTTTCATGGTAAATCTCGCATTTGCTAGTATTTCTCTAGTTTTCATTGAATGGACACCGACCGTGTTCTTTCTGTACAGTTTTTTGTTGTTATATTCATATGTATGAAAGAAAACAAAAAAAAAATTGATAGCATGTTCTATGTTAATTCTCTTTTTCTTTTCAGGATAAAATAAAAATGAAGTCTTTAAATTTGTTAATTTATTTATGATAATATTTACGAGCAAAAATTAGGACTAAATGATCACACATACTTAGTTATAAATGAATGAATATGTTTTCATTATTCCACAAAGACATGTTAGACAAAGAATATCATGATAAATTATTTAAATAATAGTTCTTTTGTGTTCTGATGAAGAAAAACAAATTGATGTCGACAAAAAGCCAAAATAGTTTTTTCTCAGAATTAATCAGATTTTCATGATTATGTAAAAGAAAAATATTTTCTTGTCATTTTTATTAGAAACAATACTTCAGATTAATTTCTTGGGGACGAAATACATATATACGTCCGGTTTCGAATCAATTCGTAATTAACTTGCGCATACTTTTTACAGTATTATTATGATTTTCCATACTACATAGACTGTCGATCGACTATATTGCCCATCTGTGTTGTGAAGGTGTAGATGTAGTTGAAGAGAAGATCTATGCTCACTCACGCTCTCAAGATTATCGTATTCTGAAATACTTTTAGACGTTTTTTGATATCGATAGAAATAAATACATCCTACTAGAGTTGCGAAAACTTCCTTTGTTTTCTCAAAAGTAATCTCGTCCTCAAGAGGCTAAACATCTAAAACTAGTATTATTAAATATTTAATATTTATAATTGACGAAAGTAAATAACACACAAGTCAAAATGAAAAATGATATTTACAGAGAGAGTAGTTCATAAGTACAACTAATCTTTTTGTCGTGATAGAATAGCCTTGAAAACTGTTTTTCATAAGTACTTTATGAGCTTACAGCTAGTGTCCTGAACAGATACGGCTTTTCGCAACTGGATCCAAATTGCAGCTAATCGACATTCGACAGATGCTTTCACAGTCAAGGAACGGTTTCAAACTTTTATTTTATATGAAAAAGTATATTATTGAGTTTCTTTCATAAACAGTAACAAAAAAAGGTTTCATGTCAAATTCCACAAAAAAACAAGTGATTCAGAACTCATTAAGTGTCTTTTTTACTTCTCAAGTTTGATCGATTTTGCTAAGTATACTTTTGTTAGTTTGTAATGATGCTGAAATAGAATGCTGAGTTGATGCCAAACGTCATAATTGCGAACATATACATGAATACTTTTTCCATCGCGATAAAGCATCTTTACCTTTTTTATAATGTATTTTTCTCTTCATATATTCAATTACTTTATCATCATCTGTAAATGAATTTTCATGAAAAACAAACTCTCTTAGTAAAACAATATCGCTTATGACTTTTGTGAAACCATGTTCAAGTACAATAAATTGCTCAAGCATAATCATACTGGTGTTTCACTCGTATGCTTTTATATAAAACAGCAGTTTGAAAAAGGAAAGATTATTTCAAAACAGTAAGATTTCATTAATTGCTAGGTCGGGTGTGGCATTCTCGACCTAATTGCAGAATACAACTTATAGGTCATAATATAAGTCTCAAATTTCGAAATATCTTTTGTCGAAACTTCCATAAAACCGAGCACCACCAAGGATAGCAAAAATAATTCTCGCTTTCATATCTTGGTAGTTAAGAAAAGACAGATAGCTATATCGGTGGCGAGAAAAGAAAAAAACAACCAAGCATTCCACAACAAACCAAGATGGACGAATGAAGGCACATACGTGGATTTGTTAGAGTCATGTTTAACAATGTAAAAGATAGAAATGCATTATTGAAGCTCCTGTTGATACTTCAAAGCAATATTTGTACATGTTTTTCTCATGAAAAAAAAGTTTGAAGTCTCTTCTAATACAGAAAGAGAAATTAGTCCCATACAATGGAACAGAGTGAGGATATTCAAACTTTTTATTATAAAGTTACTTATGTACCATGCGACAGAGATGGGCAAATCAAGTCATTTTTTGACTTGACTTGATTTGACTTGAGAAATTTTTGGATGACTTGACTTGACTTGTGACTTGGCCTTCAAAGTCAAGTCACAAGTTAAGTAAAAAAATGGACATATTTTTGCAATTTATGCGTTTAATTCTTGTCTACACTAAAAGTACCTATGAGAGCAGAAGCAAAGAAAAAGAAATTCTTTCATGTACTTTAGATAAGCGGCGGCCAGATGAGAATATATAGTCATTTTTTGACTTGACTTGACTTGAGAAATTTTTCTTAAGTTCTTGATTTGAATTGATTTGACTTGAAAAGCGTTGTGACTTGACTGGACTTGATTGAATAATTTTTTTGGCGATTAATGACTTGACTTGACTTGACTTGAACCTTCAAAACCTCTGACTTGCCCATCTTTGCCATGCGGTACAATTGATTTTGAGAGCTTCTATTTGTTTTTTTATTGATGGCTATGTGTAATGAAATTTTACTCTTTTTTTGTAACAAAACGACTTGATTTCATCCTTGCTGAGAGAGAGCATTATAAATCATCATCTATAAAGAAAAAAAAATGTCGTCTTTGTGTTGAATGAATAAAATATCAATTCTAAAAATTCAGTACTTACATGTTAAGTATCTGTTGTTCTTATCTAAAAAAAAATAAATTCGAACTTGACAAGATGTATTAATATGAATTTTGATACTTGAAATGATCTACTATTAATGATTGCCTTCCTCATGATTTACAACAGTATTATCAAGATAAGAATGTGATGATCAAATATTTAACCTTGACCATAAAATAATATTTTGATAAAATAAATCGCAAGAAGTGATTGTTTCAATGATTTATTTGTCGCTTATAATAAGTCATTAGTCACAAAAATAAGTATTTTAAAATGAAAAAAATTCCATAAACACTGCGTACAGGATGAAAATCTTCACATATCATGTATTCATGTCTGATTTTAAATCGTTTATTCAATATACACGTTAACTGATCCCACAGTAAGTGTCTTATCATCAATATCAAATAAATCATCATAATAACTAATATCTGCACAAGAATTGAAGAGGAGTAGGTATAACTTCAATAACTTGACAACAGCAACAGTTAGCGGTCTTCGATTTACAGCAAACGAAAGAGGAAAACTTCGGATGTCTTTTTAGTGGAATATTATACCAAACAAAATTATTTAGAAAACTCTCATTTTTGCAAAAATTAAAAAGAAATATTTTTTCCTTTAGATGTAATTTTGATTTTGACATGCGCTTCTGACAGTGACCCTTCCAGTTATAAGTTCAAGGCACAACCCAAATCATTTTGTCCTCATATCTCAATGTTGAGAAAACGAAATATCTTTTTCATGCATTTTTTATGAATGTTTTGAGAAGATGATAAGTTTTAAAATACTTTTATCTTATCTAGTGTAAAACGAAAAACGTCCAGGATACTCCACTTTAGGTTTCTGAACATCAGAGGTTGGTAACAATTGCCGTTGTCGAGTTTTTGAGCTTTCATCCATTCGTCTTTAATTCTGGCACAGACATTATTTAGTAGTTCTTATTAATGAGTGTTTGGAATGATTTTCGACAAGATGTTTGTTCTCCTGTGAGCTGCTAGAAAGTACCAAAAGCTATTAGTTATGATGCTCTATTTGAAAGAAAGATTTGAAATTTTTTTTAATGGCGATCTAACAGGCTTTTATTTATCCTAAAAATCCCTTTTCTAACATACTAAAAATTGTTGAAGCCAGCCATTTTGAACTAAGCTGTAGGTTCTACCGGAGGACTTTTTCAAGAGCTTCTTTCAATGTACAACGGTTGTCACCATTTTCCAAATATCTGTATATTACATAAACAAAAATTTAGGTACCTTGCCGAAAGATAAGAAAACTTCAAATGTTGTAGGTTCTAGGATAGCCTTTGATCTACAAGCTGATATGTCAATAAAGATTTCAAACTTTAGTTTTGAACCTAAATAGTGAAAATACAAAACAATTTTCGTATAAACTAGCTTTTTAGACTTCTTCAAGATTATTTCACTATTCTAAAACAAACACTGAGACATAATTTCTAACGAGGGAATTACCTGAACTACTACTCACTATGCAGGCTCATATTTGGTATACAAGGAGGTCTCT